TTTTTCTTTTTGCTTATGTGGTGCTGAGGAATCGAACCCAGGGCCTCAGGCATGCAAGGCAAGCACTCTACCACTGAGCCACCTTCCCAGCCTCTTGAAATTATTTTAAAGCACTATTTGTATCAATACCGATTGTGCCTCGCAAGGGCTGAGGTGTAATTCCACAAAGTGCTTGCTTCGTCTGCGAGGCCCTGGGTTCCATCCACACAGCGAAAGGGACGTATTTGTACGGTTTTAGATACCGTTGTTGGTGAAGAATTAAAAATACTGCTCTAAACATTCTCCAACCGCGCGCAGCCGCACAGCCTTTTATTTCGCCCTAAAAAGTTTGCACTGGCGGGATAACGTAGCTGCTGCTCTGCTCGCCCCACACTGATGGTGTCAGTACAAGGCCGCATTAGCAGCACTTCAAAACCACCTTGAATTCTCTCAAGTTACTTCACTCCTCTTTAATTTTTAACTATTTACATTTTTTAAATATAATTCCTTCCTCACACTTCCACAAAGAACTTTCCTTAATTTGCAGTTGTCATCATAATACCCGAAGTCAGAAGAGGTTTCCGTGAGGAAGTGTCTTGTCGTCTGGTAATAACGTGTGAGCTGATGGTTGCTTCTGCTCACCATTCATATTTCTCTGGAATGCTCTCTGAATCCTGGTGACGGGTCTCTAATTTGGATTTGGTAGAAATATTAAAACTAAATTAACAGTGTGATTTTTTTTCCTTTTTTTGCCTAGAGGATATTTATCATTTACCTGGAGTTCCTTATTCTCAGGTTTTTATTTTTCATTGCGTATTGACTTTTGAAAAGCTGGATTTCGTGGCTAAGCAAAGGCAGTTAGCTAGCCCCAGATAAACACGTGAGTGGCACGGCCGCACCTCACGCCTCTTGTCCGACTGGTTTTTCGGGGAGGAGATGGCAGCTGGTTTCAGAGATCATAGACCCAGTGAAGCACCTCCAGGAAGGAGCGGATTGTCACAGTGTCCGGGGGAGGCAGCTGGTTGGAAGCTGGGATCTCCTCAGCCTGGAGATGAGGGCAGTGGTGTGCCAGCTGACCTCTGTGTCTGCAGAGTGTCTGCCTCATGGGGTTTTGGCTAGTCATGGCCCCAGCTCCACCCCATGGTCCTACTTTGAGCTGTGATGCTACTAATAGACAAAAGTCTCTCCCGTCAGATTCCTAGGGGCCACACCGATCTGGCCAGTTTACCATCCGGTCACGCCATGATGGCTGACCTGTAAGTTGACTGCCCTCTTGGGTCATCACACCTTGCCCAAGAAGGGGACATCCTGGACAGTGAGATTCCAGTGCTGCGCAGGGACCAGCTCCTTTCTTAGAAGGCACTTGGGCTGACCTGGCGCGCGCTGCATGTACCTCCACCTGAGGGGAATTAAGTTGCGTTTTCTCACTGTCTTTATGTATGGTCTCAAGAAGATAAATGTCTCCTCTAGTTGAGGTATTTAGCTGCTTTAGTACTGTTTTTGTTTTTTCTTGTTCTTTTTATTTCTCTCATTCCTAAGAAACATAAATAGGTAGGATTGCTGGCTTTGTTACAAAGCAGAATTTGCTCTTCAGAAATAGTCTGAATTTTGAAAACTTCTAGTTTAAGATAGCCTTAAACCTGTCCATCTTGTACCCAACGTGCTGATGTGTTTGCATCTGGGCTTGCTGAAGTCTGATGTAGGCCTGTGTTTTGAACATTGTTTTCTGTAGGTAAAAGACAGATCATGTGTAATGACTGTTTGGCTTATATTTAAGACCATGGATTTTTAAGAACCTTTCTATATCTTCAGAGAATTGTTGCCTGTGATATTCATAGCTAGCACTTGCTATACTGCCAGTAAGAACTCTTCCTTTTTTCTTTTTTTGTGCCTGTCCAACTTGAACTTAGGGCCTGAGCACTGTCCCTGAACTTTTGTGCTCAGTTAGCACTCTGCCACTAAGCCACAGCTCCACTTCCAGCTTTTTGATGGCCAATTGGAGAGAAGAGTCTCACTTCAAACCACAGTCTTCAGATCTCACTCAGCTCATGAGTAGCTAGGATTACAGGTGTGAGCCACTAGCTTAAGAGCTTTAACACTTTAAAAGATTTTGTGCTATGGTAAAGCCAGAACTGAAAACTGATCGTCAAAGATTTTCCAGAAATATCGTGTTTGGTCTGTATGTTTGTTTGTTTTTTAATGGAGTCAGCATTAAGTCATACATCCCACATAAGTACTCAAGCTCTGAGTTCTTGCTGACAGTGATGGATGGAACTGCACACGCTGCCCTCACAGGACAAGCCCTCTCCCGCTTGGTGCTGCACCGCGGGCTCCTCCTGCTCCCCTGCATGACCAGATTCGCCCTGTGAATTTGTATGCCTGTTCACATGGTAGGAGACCTGGGAAGTATAAGCAAGTGTGAGTGTGCACGCGCACACACATAAAATGGCCCATACTCCTTCCTCCCTGTATGTCGTTTTTCTCACTGCCCTCTCCGCGCCTCCACTGAGGGGTTTTCTGTGAGACGGTGGTTACATCTTCCATCTTCGTATGCATGTGCCTGTGTGCACGTGTACAGTGCTAGCGTTGAAAATTACACGGTGTTGCAGCCCCCCCTTTTTAGCATGCCTTTGAAAAGTAGTGAGATCGCACTGTTTCTTTTTTATTTAATGGGTTGGTTGCTCTGTGTTGGGTTTTTGTGGTTTTTACAGGCTTCGGGCCCCAAGCATAGACAAGTGTTCTACAGCTAAGCTACCACTCTGCAGTTTTCCCATCATTTACTATAATTTTAGTCTTTTACTTGGTTTACATAATCTTTCCATTTATTAATATATCTTTGGTCATTGTTATATTATCCAATTTGTATTGTTTTTCTGTATAATTTTTTTTGGGGGGGTCTGGTCATGGGGCCTGAACTCTAGGCCTGGGCGCTGTCCCTCAGCTCTTCAGCTCAAGGCTAGCGCTCTACCACTTGAGCCATAGTGCCACTTCCAGCTTTTTTCTTTTTGCTTATTTAGTTCTGGGGAATGGAACTCAGGGCCTCAGGCGTGCAAGGCAAGCGCTCTACCACTGAGCCACCTTCCTTTCTGTATAATTTTATTTTAGGCATACAGGTGGGTTTTTCTTAGTCCTTTGTAAAGCAAGATGATTAAGTAGGTTAGCAAGTCAGAGTTACCTTTTTCTATAGTTTATGTCTTCTTTAAAGAAGGTGAAAGGGTGTGTGTAGTTGGATTTGGAGAAGGATAGCCAGCTGCAGGTGACTATTTTGCAACCAGCGTTGTCTTTCTAGAGCTGTTCATAAGCATTGCTGACAGCTTGCTGGTACATACCATCTTTCCTGACACATGCCCTCATTATGAGGTTGAAGAAATGAATAGGTTTGCACGTGGCTGTGTCTGGTTATGTTGGCTAGTTCCTGCTGCTAATGTTACAGATAGCGTTCATTTCTGAGTCTGCTTTCCATTTTCTCTTAGCTCTGGTTGGCTCTGAGGAGGGTCTCACTGCCTCGGGGATGGGATCGGAGAGCAGCGCGCTGAAGAGCTCTACTCTCCAAGAGCCGCCCTACACGCTGCCCTCTGGACTGGCCGTGTACCCCGCGGTGCTGCAGGATGGCAGAGTCGCTTCGGTCTTTGTGTACAAGAGAGAGAATGAAGACAAGGTCAACAAAGCTGCCAAGGTACCGAAACAAGCGACAGCCGAGCAGTGCTTGCTACTGTCTTGTCTTCTGTCAGTGAAGCCAGTAAAGGGCAGAGGATACGGCTGTGAAAAATAGTGCTTTACTATGTATCTCTTATAAAAGCACTGTTGTCCGCCCTTGTTCTAGGAGTGTTGTTATTTTTTCTTTTTTTTAAATGGCAAAGTGAGGAGTTTAATAGGAAGAAAAGGAATGCACTGTTGACAGAAAAGGCAGGCTTGAACTAGATGTCTCAAGGCAAACACGTGGTTAAGAATTTCCGTTTTCTGGGGTTTGGAGTGTGGAGAAGTTCTGGTAATGATAGTGGGCTGATCTTAGGGAAATGAGGGCTCACTTGGAAGATTTTTGGCAGAGATCTGTGCATATACAAGACTGCCACGCCCTGGTGTTAAGTGTATGTATGGAAGCGATGCGTATGCATGAGTTCGCTGCAGAGGCTAGGTAGGGGAAGGACTCATGCACTTTGACGCACAGGCGCCTCGGTTCAGTTAGAACTGGCCTAGGGAGAAGTCCTAACCACAGCTGACCGCTCATTTCCCCAAGAGGAGTCGCTACACGAGGTTCAAATAGGAGACAGGACGTAGGCGTGTCTCTCTAGTTTTTCTTTTCCTGAGACATGGTCATGCTCTAGATAGAATGCTGAACCCATGCGTTAAGCTTGATGCTCCAGAAAGAGTGTTGGACCTGGACCGTGGCTGTCGCTCACAGACCCCGCACAGGTGGAGGACTTGGAGAGGCATTGGAAATAGCTTGTAGCTTGCACTTGGTCACTACTGCTCCTGGCTAACAGTGCCAGCACGTTAGTGTGCTGACACACTGTCAAGTCTAGTGCTATGCAGATAGCTCAGAACATGTACAAGGCCCTGGACTGCCAGAGAGAGCAAGGCAAGAAATGATTCTAACTCCACGTGTCTGAAAGACAAGTTCTTCATTGATGCTTCATTGAATAGCAAGCGTAGTGGATATTCAGCTACTCACATCATAAAAATGTTTCTAAAAAGGAAAATATAATCCGTGTGTGTGTGTGTGTGTGTGTGTGTGTGTGTGTGTGTGTATGTATGTATGTATGTGTATGTGTCCTATCTTATGAACTCTGGGCCTGGGCTATGTCCCTGAGCTTTATTGTTCAAGACTAGTGTTCAAGACTACCACTTGAGCCACAGCTCTGCTACTAGTATTTTGGTGGTTAATGGAGGTGAGTCTCACAGACTTTCCTGCTTGGGCTGGTTTTGAACCACAGTCCTCAGATCTCAGCCTCCTCAGTAGCTAGGATTACAGGTGTAAGCTACCAGTGCCTGGTATTAGTTTTTATGGCATATATCCCGCAAAGACAAATAACTCAGATCATATCATAAAATTTTAAAAGGAAAATCCCAAACACCTACTTTTGACATATGAGGGTGTCTGCGTTTTGGAGGTGTGAAGCTGGAACGCGAAGTTTTCCCCTCCACATCCATGGCTACAGTCGTTAACGCTTGTTGCTGTGAACCTAGCATGAATTGGGGAAGTTTGGAAAAGCAGCAGGTGATAAATATCTTCTCAGAATATCTCTCATACTCTAACCCAGTGGGATCTGTATGGCAAGTTCTGGAGGTGCGAGGTAGCAGACCAGGGAAGCAGTGTAACGAGCTTACCCCACTCGCTCTAGTTTGGGTTCCCTCGCCTACTTTTATTTTGTCCTGGGATGGGGCTTGAACCTAAGGCCCACATTCTTCCTAGGCTTCATATGTCTGGCTGGCCTCGACCCCCTGAGCCATGCCCGAGCCCTCTTCCCTTTACTTTTCAGATAAAGCCCCCCACTTTTGCCCACATCCGCCTCAGACTGGGATCTCCTGCCTCTGCTTCCTGAGTAGCCAGGCTGGCAGGTGGCTCCCTTGTGTATGATCCCAGCCCCTTGGCAGGTGGAGATAGATAGATCATGGTTCAACGTCAGTCTTGGGCAAAAAGTTCCTAAGATCCCATCTCAAATGAAGTCGGGCCTGGTGGGTGTTGTACAAGTACAAGACCCTGAACTTGAATTCCAGCACTACTAAAAAGCAAAAATGGTAGTAGTTCACTATAGGTGTCTTAAAGAAGATGAAATAGCAGAGTTCCAAAAACAGTATGTTTGATTAGAGCTCATTGTATCTTGAATCCATCAACTCGGATAGTATAATTTGCTTACTAATGACTATGACTCCTTTTTAATCAGTAGTCTGTAAGGAATGATAAATTCTAAGTTAGAATTTGATTACTATCGTTTTGTATACTTTAAATGCTTAGTGAAGGCTTCATGATAATTACAAGTTTATAAAAATAGTTCCTGAATGTGTTGATATCAGGAACACCTCGTGGTCTGTATGCAGGTGGTCAATGTGATGCACGCAATCTGGCTGGCGACCTAGACAAACAGGAGCAGGAAACCTCTGTGCAGATACTTAAATATGAAGTGAATGAAGTCAGAACAAGTGTCTTTGTCATTTGAACTTAAATACAGATCAATACTTTTGGACTTTTACTTCAATACATTGGAAATTATGGAAGTTCACCAATTCTCCTGTTTGTATTTTTAAGCACTTAAAGACACTTCGTCACCCTTGCTTGCTACGATTTTTGTCTTGCACCGTGGAAGCAGATGGGATTCATCTTGTCACCGAGCGAGTGCAGCCTCTGGAAGCAGCCTTGGGAACGTTGTCTTCTGCAGAGGTCTGTGCTGGCGTCTATGACATACTGCTGGCGCTCACCTTCCTTCACGACAGGGTAAGTAGCCCGCTTGCTCCATGGTCCACCTCAGAAGCTAAAGCAGATTGGGGAGATGATATGAGTGGCAGCTCTTACAAACTGGTGTGTGTGTGTGTGTGTGTGTGTGTGTGTGTGTGTGTGTGTGTGCGTGCGCGCACATGCACACAAGAATGCACACAAGAATGCACACAAGAATGTGTAATTTATAAAAAAAAAAAGTAATTGAAAGGTACAGCTGATGCTCCGGATAGTTTTTGGAAATCACAACTAATTCTCTGTCTCAGGGCATATTTGAGTATTTGTATTTACCTCTAAATGTAAGTTTGGGGGTAAGTCTTTATCTAAAAATGGATGGTCTATGTTAAGACAAAGGTTTAACTTTAAATGTTGCATTAGCAAGAATGTTGCCCCCTTTTAAGGTTTTGAATAAAGAAATGACTGTTAGGAGGAAGTCCTTTATGTGTATCCCTTCCGGGCCGCCACGGAGAGCTCAGCACTGCAGCCCACACAGGTCACTCTCTGGCCATGGCCGCCGTTATAGTGTGGTAGTTCCTATGTTTACTTGGCTCTGAATTAGACACATAGTTTTTAAAAATTATCTTTTTTTAAGTAGTTATACAAGGGGGTTACCATTGAGCTTGTAAACACAATACTTATTGATTGATTTCACCCCAATTTCTTAATGGTATTTGCATTCTGAAACATTAAGGCCTTTGGCAGTTCTCTAAGATTTTAAAAAACTAGTCACAGATTAGAAGTATTTGACTCATCTTAATGAATGTTTTTAAGGTTTTTTTCTGTTAATGACCAACAGAATCCTCAACTATCATGTGGAAGGTATATCCCTTGAAAGCATTTTCATAGGATCACTTAATAACAGGAGTTTCCAATGCTTCTCTGGAGAGAGGTGTACGTGCACGAAAAACATTTGTGCTGTTTGCATATAGGGATAAGAAAATCTCTCCTAGCCTTGAATCTAATTCTTTGGAGCTCGTCATTTCAGAAATGTTCTTTGTAGGGCTGGGAAGGTGTCTCAGTGGTAGAGCGCTTGCCTTGCATGCCTGAGGCCCTGGGTTTGATTCCTCAGCACCACATAAGCAAAAAGAAAAAAGCCAGAAGTGGCGCTGTTGCTCAAGTGGTAGAGCACTAGCCTTGAGCTGAACTGCTGAGGGACAGCGCCCAGGCCCAGAGTTCAGGCCCCACGACCGGACCCAAAAATAAATTAAAAAAAAAAAAAGAAATGTTCTTTGTGCATGAAGAAAATATTTAAATGCTTTTCTTTTTCCACAAATAAAAACATGATGACGTTTCTAAGCCTCCCTTTAATATATCACTATCCTATATAAAAATACATACACAGAGCTGGGCACTGGTGGCTCATGCCTGTAATCCTAGCTACTTGGAGGCTGAGATTGGAAGATCGTGGTTCAAAGCCAGCTTGGACAAGAAAGTCCATGAGACTCTTGTCTCTAATAAACTACTCAGAAAAAGCTGAACTTGGCCCTGGGACTGAAATGATACTGCACTAGGCTTCAGCAAAAGTAGCTCAGGGACAGCGCCCAGGCCCAGATTCAAGCCCCAAGACTGGCAACAACACAAATACACATTCACTCACAGGGGTAGGATGGCTTACGTGTTCTTTCTTTGACAAAATGATTTCTGGTTTGGAAAGTAGCCTCAGTACCTGAACTCCGCTCTCATTTTCTCCTCCTCTCTTACTTGACTGTACTATTTTTTATCATTTAAAAATTGGCTCTTCTATGGTCTGCAGGCTATTTCTGGTGGTCCTTATCATTCCGTTTTCCTCTTCTTTAGGCTGAATTTTTTTTAAGGCCTACTGACAAGATTTCAGGTGAAGTGGATCTGGGTTCGTGATAGAATGTAGGTGAGAAAGAATTTAGAGGAGAAATTAACATAATAACCTCTGGGAGCAAAGGTACATTTTGTCCTTGGAGACATCGGGAGCACATGGTGTCGGCTCGAAAGGCTTGTAAGTTCGTGGTGAGGACAGGTGCGTCTGGATTCCTGCGGAAATGGAGAGTCATTCTATCCGCAGAGGCTCTCATATCTTTATAACCTGTCTTAATAGGCAGGGAGAGACTAGAAGCCTTTCTGTTGTATTTTCCTTTCTAACCTCCTTCAGCTCGTCATTCCTATGAGCACAGCTGCATTTATTATGCTGCATGTGGGAAGGTTTGTCATCCTCTTCTTTGGTGATTGTATTTGGCTTTTGAAAGCTCTCCATACTGGAGCAGCAGTCACCGGCTTCGTTTTCTCCCCAGGGGCACCTGACACACAACAATGTCTGCTTATCATCCGTGTTCGTGAGTGAGGACGGCCACTGGAAACTGGGCGGAATGGAGACGGTTTGTCAAGTTTCTCAGGCCACGCCCGAGGTAAGCAGCCCGGCCTCCTGTGCATGCCCAGGCTGGGGTGGCCTCTCGGGGTGGTTCATGCCCAGCCGGGATTTCCCTGCTCAGATGAGCACAGAGGTTGTGTGTGGATTCCCTTCTCCTCACCTTGTAGACGAGAAGCAGAATGGTTTGCCCAGACCTTTTGTTTTGGTTTTTGTTTTTTTGGGGTCCGGTCGTGGGGCCTGAACTCTGGGCCTGGGTGCTATCCCTCAGCTCTTCAGCTCAAGGCTAGCGCTCTACCACTTGAGCCACAGCGCCACTTCCGGCTTTTTTCTTTTTGCTTATGTGGTGCTGAGGAATCAAACCCAGGGCCTCAGGCATGCAAGGCAAGCACTCTACCACTGAGCCACCTTCCCAGCCCCTGCCCAGACCTTTTAAGGAGTTGCCCGGCCTCTGCTGCTCCTAGCAGCTGGTGCCTCCCTGCTCACACCGTTCCGTGTGTGGGTCTTCTGCCCCAGGGGCTGAGCTTCTGGAGGGTGGGTTAGTTTCTAACTACCTGGAACAGTGACTGGCTGGCTCAGGCACATCTGCACGGGCTTGAACTCATTTCAGACGCTACCACTTCCACAAAGACGCCTCTGACTTCTGCCCCCATTATCACATCCTTTTCCTCTGAATCGCCATGGCGTTCTTTCTGGCGTCCACAGGATTCAGTTCCTCGCCACAGTGTGCACCCTCCCGTCACCGCCTCTCCCCCACTCCTGGCTCCATTCTTTCCCACTGAGCGCCACTCTTTCCAGCTCTGCCGCTGGTGGCTTTCTTCTTCCTCTGGTGCAACACTTTCCTTCCCCCGGGCTCCCTTCTGAGTCCCCAGACCTTCGGTGACGTTCCGACCCACAAGATGAGCATGCCGTCCGCCTCTGCTTCTGAGCCCTTGCTGCGGCTCTTCCTTGCGCTTCTGGGCTGTGAGCATGTGGGCCGGACTCGAGGGGTCTGCTGTACTCATTCCATGTTCCTCGTGTCGAAACAGCATGGTGGCCATGAAGGTGCTGCAGAACTCATCTTCGAGTGGGTGGGCCAGTGCGCTTGCGCCGCGGGTGGTGGTTTTGTCTTTACAGCTCAAGTCCTCAACTTGTATGTCTCGTGTGAGAAGACTCAAGATCACTTGATGCAGTGAGAAAAGCAATGATTTGCTCAGTGCTGAGCAGCTTTTAATTTTGAAATGGGTGTTGCTGTGCGTGCAGGCTGGGTTTGAGTCTTAGTTTGCAGTGCTCTTCCTGCCTCAGCCTCCGGGCTGGCTATGGTGGTGGGCAGTGACAGCCACTCTGGCTGATGGGACTCTAGTTCTGGAACTCCCCGCCCCCCATCTGAGGTCTCCGCTCAGGAACTCAGTCCACGCGGCAGCCACGCGAGCCCTTTTTTGTCCTGGTTATTTTGGGATAGGATCTTGCTTTTTCTCGGGGCTGCTCCGGGTCATTATGCTCCTGAGTCTTAGTTTTCGTCCTGGGCTTGGCCTTGTGCCTCGTGCCTCGTGTGTCTTCACCTCCTGCCCACGCCTGGTCCTCTACACTGGAGCCACGCTTCTACCCCAGCTTTGCTTTCTCCTTATCCAGTCTTGGGCTTGAACTCAGGTCTGAACACTGTCCCTGACCTAGCACTGTACCCCTTGGGCCATAGCTCCACTTTTGGCTTTTTAGTACTTAAGTTTCATGTACTTTCCTGCCTGGCTGGCCTTGAGCCACGCTCCTCAGCCTTCTGAGTAGCCCGGGTTACAGGAGCAAGCCGCTGGCACCGGCCAGCCCAGCTTCTTCCTGGGGAGTTGGGGATGGATGGGTCTCACTCCTGCAAAGCTAGAATTACAGGCAGGAGCATTGCACCAAGCCTCTGTGCTCCTGTGTTCCTCTCTCCACAGTAGCTGGGATGACAGGTGTGCCATTCCCAGCTTTTTCCAGCTTTTATTTTTTTTTTTTTGCGAATGGAGTCTCACACACACTTTCACACAGACTTACTCGTTCGATCCTGCCAGTCTCAGCTTCCTGAGTAGCCAGGAGTACTGGTATCCTCGGTGAAAGCCCTGTGCAGTTTCAGATAATTCAAAGACTTTAAGAGTGTATATTGAAGGCGTGGTATTGATGTAAAAGTCCCACGGCTGCTGTTTGCATTGCTTATGCTTTTGGGACATGATGAAAGGGGGTGGTTCGCCAAGCATGTGACTGAATGACTTCTCTTCATTTATTTCTGCCTAGTTTCTGAGGAGCATTCATTCAGTAAGAGACGCAGCCTCTATCCCTCCTGAAGAGCTGGTAAGATCTCGCCCTCGGTATGGAGAAGAGCCCTTGTGCGACGGAGCGTAGAGCTTGAAGAATTCCCTCTGCCTGTCCTTTCTCTCTAAATTGTACCTTATGCCTCATAATATCTCTGGCTTTGGAAAGCTTCTGAAGTTAATTGTGCCACCACCTCCAGGGAGACGGTGTACAAGTCTTAAAAACTAGACCCCTGTGACCCGTGTCTGCCATAGAAACAGCCTCGTGCATTCTGAAGGCCTGGTGCTTTGCTGGAAGATGTAACTGTTGGGTGGGCAGCGCCCCACGCCTTTGCTTTGTGTTGCCGCAGTCATTCATCCGCTTAGCTGCACATTCACTAGGGCTCCATGATTATAGAAGAGTGATTATCAGTATCACATTGCTAGTAAAGGATTCTAAGCTTGGGGACTGGTGGCCCAGGCCTGTGATCCTAGCAACTCAGGAGGTTGAGATCTGAGGATCACAGTTTGAGGCCAGCCCGAGCAGGAAAGTCCATCGGACTCTTCTCTCCAAATAGCCACCAAGAAAAACCAGAAGTGGCACTATGGCTCAAAAGTGGTAGAGGCTAGCCTTGACGGAAAAAGCTCAGGGATGGCACCCAGGCCCTGAGTTCAAGTCACACGACCAACAAAAAAAAGCGTTCTATTTAACAAAAGCAGATGCCTCCCTTGAAGTTTGTTCTTTTTTTTTTTTTTTGGGGGGGGGGGGGCGGGTCTGGTCATGGGGCCTGAACTCTGGGCCTGGGCGCTGTCCCTCAGCTCTTCAGCT